TCCATCCCTCCGCTTATCTGCTAGAGAAAGCATATGTTAGGTTAACTTACTACTAAATAAAGCACTGTAAAGGCATTCGAGTCTGCCTACACTAGCTAGCAACAAGTTGCTTTTTCATTTTTAAAAACAAGCTGCTACTTTAATTGTCATTCAAGACTGATTAATGAGAATGTTCTACAAACTTGGAAATTTTACCCTCGTAGCCACTGATGCACTTCAAGATTCCTAAACCTATTACTTTCTGACTCTGCTAGAGATAGGACTGGTTTCTACAATCTGGCCCCCATGCAGCATCATATTGAGGAACGTGAGAGAAAAGCTCAAAGCAGGGCTGAATCAGAACAACTGATGTAAGACCACAGCCTGTAACTCCTCTGGAACCGAGACCTCTGCACCTTTTCTACTACAGGACACAGACGTCTAAGAGGTTCAGCCACAGTACGCATGGAGGACTAAAAAAGTCGGCTGGAATTTCGTATTTGTGCTGTGCACAAATGTCAGATAGTTTCCTCAAAAAAAAAAAATCAGGAAAAAAAGTAATACATTCAGCACGAGTTCCCTTGTCAGGGCATAATGAGCACTATTTTACATTCTGTCACATTTCTCAAGACTTTCCAGCATCTGAAAAACAAACATTACATACCAAAGTTGCTTGCTGTATGACAGTCAATCATGTTACACAATTAATAGATGTATTTGCACTTCCTGTCTCTGCAACTACATTCTAATTTCAGAAATATGCTGACTATAAGGCAAGGAGCAAGAACCTCAGGTACTTGCCTTCTGAACATACCACATGAGAGAAGTAGGGCTGTATCTTGCATACTTATGACTGATAATTATTTTTTTAATCATGGAAAACCAGCCAGACATGGGCAGTCTTTCAAGACAGGCAAGTATCAGGAACCCCTATTTTCTTAGTTCTCATAAGGAGCTGTTCCAGTAGATAAACATTATTTTATCTGAAGCATGTTTACTGTGTACGTTAATTTGTGTTGTTACTGTATCGATGGTTAATATGGACTACTGATGTAACACTGTGTTCTATTTATACATAAATGTTAACCACACGTTGCAGGTTAAAATCTACTGAAAGAAGTTGATCCATTTAGCTCCAAAAGATGACTTGCACCACCTACAGGACTTACCAGAGGGTTACAAGAGTCTAACTTCAATTATTAAAGTTTTTAAATAAACAGTCAGACATACAATTCTATGCTACTGGAATAAAAGTTAAGTCGAAATACCTCCTGTATAAGCAAAACAACAGGCTTACTTCAAAACACTGTCATCTAACATCAGCCCAATTGGTAGTTCAGCCTAGTTTGATACGAGTTTTGCACTAAGTGTTAAATGGGGTCCTTTAATTCAGCACACTTCAAGCTAAGATGGAATCAGTAACTTCCCTTGACCACAAAGGAAAAGTTAAGGAACAGCAGTCCAGATATTTCCTTCTCAAACCACCTATATGTTCTAAATTATAGTTTGTAATTCTTAAAACAGTCACAATATGCTGTACAGAAAAAAAACTTGGTGATTGCATATCTTTCAAAAGATATTTCAATCTGTCATTACATCTCATCAGTCCCACTAACAGCTTCTCTTATTACGCTTGTTCCTTTGGATTAAAAGACAAACAGTCCTACACACTTTGCAAAGCATTAAGATTGGGAGGACCACACACCAGCAGCTTACAAGTAAAATACATTGCTTTTATCCTAAAGCCAAAGAATTAAAATTCAAAGCAGTACTTGAAAGCAAGAGGCATTCAGACAAGCTTAGCAATAGAATCATAGAACAGTGTAGGTTGGAAGAGACCTTGAAGATCATCGAGTTCAACCATTAACCCAACACTTCCAAGTCCACCACTAAACCATGTCCCTAAGCATCACATCTACATGCCTTTTAAATACCTCCAGGCATGGTGACTCAACCACTTCCCTGTTCCAATGTCTGACAACCCTCTCCGTGAAGAAATTTTTCCTAATATCCAATCTAAACCTGCCCTGGTGCAACTTGAGGTCATTTCCTCTCATTCTATCACTTGTTACTTGGTGAGAGACCAACACCCACCTCACTACAGCCTCCTTTCAGGTAGTTGCGGAGAGCGAGAAGGTCTCTCCTCAGCCTCCTTTTCTCCAGGCTAAACAACCGCAGTTCCCTCAGCTGCTCCTCATAAGACTTGTGCTCGAGACCCTTCGCCAGCTTCGCTGCCCTTCTCTGGAGATGCTCCAGCACCACAAGGTCTTTCTTGTAGTGAGGGGACCAAAATACAATATATTCAGAATACTGAACACAGTATTGGAAGTGTGAGGCGTGTGGCCTCACCAGTGCCGAGTACAGGGGGACAATCACTTCCCTAGTCCTGTTGGCCACACTATTTCTGATACAAGCCAGGGTGCTGTTGGCCTTCTTGGCCACCTGGGCACACTGCCAGCTCGTATTCAGCCAGCTGTTGACCAACACCTCCAGATCCTTTTCCGCTGGGCAGCTTTCCAGCCACTCTTCCCCAAGCCTGCAGTGTTTCATGGGGTTGTTGTGACCCAAGTGCAGGACCCAGCACTTGGCCTTGTTGAACCTCATACAATTGGCCTCAGCCCATCCATCCAGCTTGTCCAGATCCCTCTGCAGAGCCTTCCTTCCCTTGAGCAGATCAACACTCCCGTCCAACTTGGTGTCATCTGCAAACTTACTGAGGGTGCACTCGGTCCCCCCATCCAGGTCACTGATAAAGATATTAAATAAAACTGGCCCCAGTGCCCCAGTTCCCCTGGGAACAGCACTTGTGACCAGCCATCAGCTGGGTTTAACTCCATTCACCACAACTTTTTGGGCCTGGCCATCCAGCCAGTTTTTCACCCAGAGAAGCTTACGCCCATCCAAGTCATGAGCAGCCAGTTTCTCCAGGAGAACACTGTGGGAAACGGTGTCAAGGGCTTTACTAATAGGTAGACAACATCCACAGCCTGTCCTTCATGCACAAAGCCAGTCACCTTGTCAAAGAAGGAGATCAGGTTAGTCAAGCAGGACCTGCCTTTCACAAACCCCTGCTGACTGGGCTTGATCTGGTGTCCTATACGTGCCGCATGATGGCACTCAAGATGATCTGCTCCATAACCTTCCCCAGCACCGAGGTCAGACTGACAGGCCTGTAGTTCCCTGCTATGTAGTTCTATGCTGCACAATAAACTGAAAAACTATGACTATAGTATTTCGGTGTCCATAAGTACAGATTAAAACAAACTACTTTTAACAAATTGCAACCCCAATGATTTTGTGGCTGAGCAAGATACAGGAGGTTACCAATGGACCTCCTTCAACCTCGTAACACTCAGATACACCAACCTTTACAGGCTTTACTAAGAGCTTAACTCCTTTTAATTACTCCTCTCCTGCTTTAAATATAACTTCTCCTAAATGCAGTCAACATTAGCCATAAAGAATCACAAAACAAAATGCAGAGATGATCATAACTCTACAAAATAGGTCGTGTTACATTTTCTGCCTGTCATTTAATCCCAGCTTTATCAAGAAAACACCATCTCTCTTCCAAACTTGCAGGACTTCTGATGCATGGTAATGAGCAAACAAGTCTGAAACAAAAGTTAACATTTCCAATGTTTACTTTGACATAAGGAAACTACAAATGGGAGTAATGACTTTCAAAATCTTAAAACCAGTATAACCATAAAATTAAAGTTGGCTTAGGTCTTAGAATCCAAAACTGATAGAAGTAGATGATCCTTGACACATAATCAAGAACTAATGATGAAAGCTCTTGTAATAAACGCCAGAGTAAGATAGAGCATTCGATAAACCTGTGGACAAATATGTCAGTGTCACATTAATAACATTTCTAGGTGTGCCCTGATTAAGTTACTAGGCACTATTCTGGAAATTATTATAAAAAGTAGAAAAATTTGTTGAAGAGAAGCAGAATAACTATAACTCAGTCTCTAGAAATCTAGAGAGAAAACTGCTCTTTGCATAACTTCTTCAAACATCAATGTGACCAAGCCAAAATTTCTTTTTTGGTAGAAACGATCTGTACTAAAGCCCAACAGCATATATAGATATATCTGCAAGGCCCTATCTGAAACATGAGCCTTAGAGAAGGTAGCAAAGTTAAATTCAGTTTTCTGGTCTCTTCTGCTTTGTCAAGGTACACATTAACATAGATTTTTGCAATGAATTAACCTGCCTTTCACTTGAGTTGCATGAAGTTTGGTTTTCGATTATAAGAATATTAGCACAAGTTTAAAAAAAAGTGTAACTTTTCTTTGTACGGTGAACATAATCAAGAGACAAACATACACACTGTAGAAATATGGCCTTTGCAGTTTTCTCTTCTGAAGGATAGAGAATTATCTGTACACTCTCAGCAGAGATTTGCCAGATTCCCTAAGGCTTCGTATCAACTGATATTGCTGTCTACTGGCAGGGCATATGCATGGTGACAGGCAGCAGTATGAAGGGGCAGGGAAGAAAAAGACCACCCATATTTGGGTCACAATATCTACACAAGATACGGTAATAGTGCCCCACTGCAATCAAAGGTAGTTTTTTTCTGGAAATACAAAGAGGTCATTACTGCTTAATTATTTGGAGGGGGTTTTTTTGGTTTCTTTTTTTTTTTTCCGTTGGTAAACTGAAAGTGACATCAAAATACTATTACAGAGCTTGGGCATTTGCAGTATAACAGTTAAGAAGTTGCTCCTACACTGCCTTAGCCTGTAGCATGAACCATTTGACCATCTAAACATATCATACCTCCTCTTTAAAATGTTGTAATTGGAAAAAGTATTTAATCAAACAGTAACCTGTCAATTCTCATCTCAGGGAAAAACACTTTCTGCTCTAACTACAATGTGATGAAGGATAGCATATAAAAACCTCCACCACCATTATGTCTTGTTTGTAGTATTTGCGCTTAAAAGAAAGTGTCTTCTGTAAAATAGTTACTAACTTGTGTAAGCCTATCAAACACATAACACTGTTACCTTTCTTCAATTCTATTCTTGTCCATAAGCGGTTGTTTGATCCACTGATTAACTAGTCTTTGTCCTTGAGGGGTTCTGCATTTATTTAGTAAACCAGCTAGAGACTGGGCAGTATTAGCATTTTCCACAGAACTCTGAAAAGGGGAAAAAAAAGAGTTAGTGAATTTTATTGACACCACTCAATGGCACTCAACTTTGCTACCCAGAAACAAATCAGTGTTTTTTCTGTATTAAATCTGACACTCATCAAAAAAGGCAAATGAAACAGCACAGCATTAAAGCACTTACACTCTGGTCCCTGGCACACGGCGAACAATTAATAGGTTTGTCCATTTTGAAACTAGCGGACTGAACAGGAAAGTTAGAAACATACCTAGCCACTGCGTAGCTTGCCTTTAGAATATGAAAAGTGGAAATATAGCTAGATATTTGCTAGTTTGCCCTTTGTAAGGTCAAAAAAATAAGAGTCCTGTCCATTAAAAAAAGCAGCAAGAAACAGGAAACAGGACTTGGCTTCAAGGGTTTTGGCTGCAGATCTTTGGAGTGCGCTGGGGGAGGGCTGCAACACAACAGAATGAGGCAATGGGAAAGAACACAGATATCCAAATTCTCTCAAGCTTCCCCATATCATCTTTGTAGTATTACAAACATCTCTAAACTTACTCTGCTCAGATTATAGTTTACTATCTCTAATTCAGGTTTAATATTAAACTTGGGCATTTTTCTTGGGGTTTTCTTTGTTTTTTTTGCACAAACAGCTAGGAAGCAAAAATTTTGCTTAATGTTGAAAAACAGCAAACAAGCTTCTTCCAACTCTTAACTTTGAAATAAAAATCTCAACCCCCTTTACCCAAGAACACCTGCAATTAAAAGAGCAAGCAAGCATTCAACCAGGAACAGGTTCTGGATACCTGTAAACAACTGGGATGTAGAACTAGCATCACTACCACAGTGAGAAGGTATACTGACACATTTAACCCCTGGAAAAATCTAATCTCTAAGGTGGATGTGTATTTTTAGTGTTCTGGACAGTATTACATACAAAAAACTTCTAAATTCAAAAAAGTGTCACAGAGTGTATATATATCATATACAAATGGCCTAGTTCAACACATCCAAGTTGGAAGGCTAGAGTTTCATATCATCAACCACATCTGTTGCACCATAAGAACTTCACCCACATACCTCACAGAGCAATCTGAATTACAAAATATTTTGCCTTTGCTTTAGCTCCTGCCCAAAATCCTTCTCACAGACAGCCTGCCACAAAGGCAACAATGCAGCTTCCTGCTACATGGCAAACCCCTTGTTCCAAAGCTCACAACAGTCCCTAAGGACAGACATGGCAGTGTATTTCCAATCACAAAACGCGTTAACACCTGCAAGGACTTATGTAGCTAAGACAGTGTTGAACTTCCTAGAATACCTCCATAAAGCTTGAGAAAAGATATAATTTTTGCTCCACTCCCTAAACGGTGGCAGAGAATCAGGAAAAAAAGAAAACAAAACAAAACAGAGTCAGAACACCTCTCTCCAGGGTTAACCACCTCACATGCTGAATACATGGTCTTTTTTTTCCTCTAGAAATCCCTCTAAGGTAAACAGGAGACCATCTTTGTGACTTCTTCCTATAAACGTGAAACTCAAGTGGATTAGCTCCAAGCAAAGATCACTAAGCAGGGTTTCCTAACATGAAAACGAAGTAAAAAAAGCTGATACAACACAGCGTTTTGGGTCCATATTTTCCTACAACTATAAAAAGGGGCAAAGCAGAAAAACAGACATGGTGGGGAGGTATGGAGGAGACTAGTAACCTGCTTGGACTATAGAAAACGTGTGTAAAAAGTAAAATTGACACTGGCCAGCTAGCATGCCACAGTGCTTTCAGAAAGTTCTGAAGTACTGTCCTTTTCATCGCCCTGCCTGCTGCAGCCAGCCCTCCCATTCCATTACCAACACCTTCTATTCTCTTTCCCAAAACCAGGACTATTGTATAAAGCAACTGTGCTTTGGAGTTCTCTATCATACCACAAAACTACAGAACTCTCCTCACCTCCCATACCTCATGTCTGCTCCTGCCACTGGAGATGTGAACCTCTCCAACTAAAACAAAAGAAAAACCACACTGCTTAGCCAGACTCTTCAGCAGCTACAACCATGAGGTACTTATAAGGTTCCTCCAATAACTGCACTCTACATAGACACTTGTTCGCGGCCACCTCCTACATCCTTGATGATCTTCTCTTCTACATTCAAAGTAAGCTAACAAAAACCAAAAACGGTGGTAATGGTACCTAACAGTGTTTAAAACATATACTGTACAGGAGTAGCTGAAAACAAAGCTATAACGTGGAAGTTGCCATTAAGCAGAATCTGGGGAGTTGCAATCGGGCAGTCAGGCTACTTGTCAAACAGCTAAATAAGTGTACTGCAAAACATTTAACAATTCAAGTGTGCATTTCTTACCTGAAAAAGGTTGAGAGCTTGAACAGCTGCATTATCTAGAACCATGTACTGACTAAGATCAAAAGTAGTCAGTTCAAACTGTCCAAAATTAGACTCATCTGACAGCAACTCTAAAAACTTGATAATGGCCGACAAAGACGAAACAGCAACCTGAAGTTTAAAAAAAACCCACAACATATCACATTCTAGTTAGAAACACTTCTGAATCGGAGAGTATTTGATAAACGCCCCTAGAAAATTACAATCAGGGAAGACTCTGAGCCATGTCAATTCCAGCAGGGCCATGACTCATCTTGTTCCACAAGACTTCATTCTCATAGGGACATCCTATGGCACTGCAGCGTCTTTCTAGGTAGATGCAAGAACAACGAACTATACATTTGCATAATCTGATAAACAAAATGTGAAGTGCACGCCTTGCCACCTTTCCAAAGCTGTTATCAGGATATTTCTGGCTCAGGAACACAAACAAGTTATTGCAGATAAATGAGAGATCACAGATCATCTCAGGACATGGTTTCAGGGTTAGTTTTCAGTCAGAACAAGAAGCTGATCTGACTCACTGCACAGCCTTACAAATGCTAGTGCCAGCACAAAAGAGAAGGAGAAGCATGACTGACTTGTTCAGCTGCAACACACTTCAAACAATTTCAACCTGTTATGAAATCACACATTAAGGGAGAATAACTCTGTACCTTACACTTGCAATGAGCATCAGCAGTGAAGGGTATTTTAAAACAAATTAAACATGTTTATCTCGAGCAAATTACCTCTTGTTTGCAGCTAAGAGAACAAACATGCTTAGTTGACATGCAGGCACTAAATCATATGTTTGAGCCATAAGATGATGCAAAACACAAAAATATTATCATAAACATTACTCTGTTTTCAAATAGCAATTTTCCTGTCATGTAAAATAATAAAAGTATTTTATTTCATTCCTTAGGCTAGATAGATTTCAAATAGGAAGTACCTCCTGTGCATAGCCTATTCGTTTACCAGAATTTATTACTTTAAAGAGATAAGTGAAGGATCTTACTTTTTTTCCAGGACCTCTGGAATCCAGCTTTGACACTGATTCAAGCTGAGCAGGACTGCTAAACACTTCAGTAAGAATGTAGCCTAATATACCATGGGTCCTACAATACACTTTCCCAGAATTATGGGAATCCAGCATAAAACAGGACCAGTGAGGACAGAGGAGATAAGCTCACAACAGGAGCATATTAAACACTGCTCTGCACTCACCTGCTTTTCCATCTCTGGCAATGCTGCGCTATTCATTTGTTCATCTTTTTTTGATTTTAACAAGCGATTGAGATCCTGAACAATATCTTTTGTAGTGAAATCTGCCTTCTTCCTGTCTGTAATCAGGATTCCTCCTCTCTGAATGACCTGTTGCCCATAAACACACAGTTCACAATTACTTTCAATATTCAGGGGACAGATGTTCATCACATAGAAGAAAACCCTTTGGAAAGATTTAGTTAACACTAGGTTGCAGAAAGAATGACAGACAAGATTTTACTCTGAGAACAACTTTTGCTGATTAAAATGCAAATAAGTCGACAAATACGTTTTGTACGCATAAATCAAAACTTCGAGTTAACATATTGCTCCTTTATTTTTCCACAAATCATGAAGCCTAGCTAAAAAGCTAGAATACGGCTTTTTAGATAAAAGTTTTGTCTAACTGTAAGCCAGAATGGTTCCCTTACTTGCCGTAGTTTTCCCATCTCTCCTGCAGTGTCTCCTCCTGGCAGCACACACTCCTTCGGTCCTAGTTGAACCAGCAGAGCTTCAAGGTTTGAGAACTGATCATTATCTGGAAACTCACAGACACTCAATTTTCTCAGCGTAGTGTCGACATACCCCACTCCTACTACTCTTTGTCCATCAGTAGTAGACAGCTTAACCCCCACAACCCCAATGGCCGTCGACATATCATTGCTGGCAAAGAGAACTTCCTCAAACTGGGCGAGATTTCCTGGAGAACCCTATTTAGAAAAGAAATACATTTGTAAAGAGTGTGTATACACAAACATACTTTTTTAAAAAAAGAAGACAACAACAGATAAAACTTAGGTAATGAACAGTTCAGTAACATAAAACACACAGTTGTTCTATTTTTTAACCATTAAAATTTTACATATCATTGACACAAAGTGAACTACCTCAGGCTTCCTTAATTTCCCAACTGATGGTGAAGATACAGAACAAGCTCTTCCAGCCTTACAGCAATAGAAAATACAGGGATATGTAACAGACCGCATGATTTACCATCATACCCGCAATGTTAGTTCCTGAAAATCCCAAAATTCCAAGCTAAGGGACTCAGGAAAGAGTCGTGGGGTTTTTTTTCTTTCATCACACAACTATAAAGGTAGAAAATTGTACCTTGTATGCTAAATACCAGTCATTTTCCTTGATAGATTTACTCCCTGCTTTGTTCTTGTAAACTTCAACTCTGTAATGACGAACCAGAAGCAGATCTCTCACAAAAGATTCAAAGTTCATTTTACTAAGCACAACACTCTCAAGTTTCTGAGTTCCTACCAAAAAAAAAAAAAAAAGGAAAAAAAAAATAAGATACCTGAATTTGTTCATAGCATTTATTTTCTGTAATTGAAATCCCCAAGAAACAGAGTTAACAGCCTTCAGGAAGGACATTATTCTGACATCGATGGACCAAGCATGTAAAAATCCACGAAACGAAACAAAAACACAACACTCAACTGATTAAAAGCATACACTATATCCAAATAAAAGCAACGTTCATTTCTGCATTTCACTAAATCTCGATGCACACATATACAAAAAGATACATTCCTCTCACCCTCTTCCTCTCCTTACAATATTCTTGATTTGTTTTTCTAATTAATCTTTCACGCATTTTAATCTAATGAGTGGTGGAAGCCAGCTACAGGTCTTCCTTCTGGATAACATCTTTTATTTCCTGGATAAGCCACTTCTGTTGACAGAACAGACTGTCAGCCCTAGTTGCACTCAGAAGACAGCAAGACACACATGCCAAGGAATTTCCTTTTTATCACAATATATACTACAAAAACAGTATATTCTCAAAAAAGTCTGAAAGTTTACATTAAAACTTAACTTAGAAAGTGCTGATTGACAAACTTTTTGCTTCTCTTCCCATAAGGGTGCAGGCAGACGATATGGTTGAACAAATGTAATTCCATACAGCTGCCAAGAGGACCAATACTTCTACCTCCTGACCTTCCTATGCCACCTCTGGCACCAGCCTACTCCCAGAATAAGACAATTCCACTACTAAACAAACTGAGGTTTCAGGTGGGTATATTAAGTTTTCTGCCAGATCAGCAAGCAGAATTAATTCAGACTGGAGTCAGATACATAACAGATAGGTGACATAAAAAGTAAGCACAGGCAATAGATAGGGATTATCACATCCCTCTTTTCAGTGGCATTCCTTCTTGTTTGAAGCTCTCCCTCCCTTCACGTGAAAGTTGTTAAACAGTGAATTTCCACACCCATAAGAACTCACGGGTTTATTTTAAATAGGATTTTTTCATTTTCTTTCCTCATCTTTCCTTAAATCTTTGGAAGCAGGTAAAAAACTAATTCCACATAACTAGGTTCTCTTTCCCAGTGCAAAACTGTCCCGCAAAACACAATTTTTGTTTTATTCAGCTGAGACTACACAATACACTAGCAGGGGGAAGCTGAAGCTGATGTGTGCTTTGAAATCATCCTGAAACCAAAAATGTAGTTTTATGCCGAATTCTAGTTGGATATGCTAGATAAGGCTTTAAAGGTTTTAAAACCAGAGCTGATAGTCACAGGCTTACAGCTGTGAAAAATTTCACTTTTAAATGGAATACAAAAAAGTAATACTGATGCTTGTGTTTCTAGTTTGGAAGACATATCAAATTCCACACTTGAAACTACCAAGCTCTACAACTTCTCCACAAGTTGTTTTTTGTGAGTGGTTTTTTGCGGTTTTGGGGAGGGGTTGGGTTTTTTTGTTGTTTATATTAGTTCATCACTTGCAATAGAAAGTGAAAAGCACAGGAGAATGTCATTCTCTTTTTAATGCCATTAGACACACACAAAAAAAGCCATTCACAAGAAACAAGTTTATTTTGTGAGGTTTGAGCCAATGACGTTGCAACACTATGTTTCTCGAGATTAAGGATAATACTAAGGTTTGCCTCTTCTGACAAGAGGATTTATCTCAATGCTCTTACATCCAACACCTGCAAGATCCACTGTCTAACACAAAGGCAGGAAAAATAAGCAACAGCAAATGGATGGAAGAGAAAATGTTATATAATACATAATTAGATGCTATTTAGTTCTTCAGGCCACGGTCAGTCAAGCGTGACGTTACCAATGTTTATCGATCACCTGCAGCATAGAACTGCGTGAGCCCCGTCCTCAGCTATCACAGAAAACATCATGCAATCATTTTCACAAACGGAAACCTACTAATGAGCTAGAAAAACGTTATTAACTGCTGTTAACCGGTGCGAAATGACGTGTTCAACTAGCTATCCACTTCTGACAGCCCTGTAGGATGAGGTTGCGCGAGGAGCGGCACACGCTCAGACCCGTGTGTTGTGCTGTAGACACCTTCCCACGTTTGCACACCTACATCTGCCACACGCGTCCTACTCAGAACGGCTACTCATCATCATGGGGAAGCTGCGAAAGGCTGAAGAAGACAGATTTGCATTCAGTGACGCTTGCTTCCAAGCCACCATGAATCAGAGCGGACATTACAATCCAGAGATCTCTTAACATCTCCCTTCCGACAGTCATCGACCCAGAGAACAGCAGCTGAATATTCACGCCCAATTCACGGCCAGGCTTCGCTCTCAGCAATACCCGGCGTGCTGCGGGCGCGGGGGCCAGCCTGCGGGAAGAAAAC